ACGGACATGAATCTACATTTTAAAGTCTAGAGACAAGGGATGCGCATGGCACCCCTATCTAAGAGCATCTCTAAGAGACTCTCCATACCCTTCCTAAATGCTAGAAATAGAGATTTTGGTGAAAAACTATCCTCCAACAGCTTATCTAAATGGTCATCCAAATATAGCCATCTTCTATTCCGGATTTTTTGCTAGCGAAAAATAGAAGACGAGAATAGCTCTCTAGAGTGTGCATGAGATATAGAAAAACTGTTGGAGAGTGAAAAGATATAGAAACCGATTTTTTTCAAATGACTCTTCCAATGGTGGTTTAGAGAGTGAAATTTTGAAAGGCTTTTGGAGATGCTCTAAGCTCAGGGACCTGAAGTGAATTTGGAAAGTTACAAATTTTAGACCCCTCATCTATCTCCAACGTGTCCCACGCTGATCCGCTTGATCCTATTGCACTCACCCTCACCTGTCACCTCGCTTAGAAATCAGCATGAGCTGGACCAGGCCACCATCTGCTCCACAGCGCCAATAGGATTCCTCGGATTTGGAATCGACCAGTCAGGCAAAACAACGACTTGCCTAGTTGCCTTTGGTGCACATATATGGCCCACCACACGCGGTAAGAAAAGGCACGAGCGCACTGGTGATGGAAAAAGCGTTTGGCCGATCCATACAGCATCTTTGGTGATCGGAAAAACGCAGCACAGCGTCCTTTGTCTTGGACGCCTGCATGCTGTAAATACCGGGTTCATGCAGCTACATGAGACACAAGCTGCTAGGCTACAGCAGGAGTACAACATACATACAAAACCAGGCACAAAACGTACGCTCCTACTTGTTAGTTTCCATCCACACGCAAACGAACAAAAAAAAAGAAAACTGAACGATGGTGCCGGTGAACAAGAGCCATGTCCTCGCTGCTCTCCTCCTCGTCGCCGCCGCTGCCTGCATCGGCCATGATGCGGTGGGGGGCATTATTCCTGTTAATGCCGTGGGGGCCATTACACCTGAAAAGACTTGAAAACACGTGTGTAGCCATTGAAAAACATATGCAACATCCAGATGAAACACTTGCAACATATGTTGAAACACCTAAAACATTTGCAACATACACTTGCAACATGCATGTATATACAACATCCAGATCTACTTTTACACCATCGAGAAGAAATATTTAATACATTCATCGCAAACACCTGAAACACTTGAAAACATATGCTTGCAACATGCGTATACTGTCTTTGCAACATCTCAGTTATACTTTTACATCATCCAGATGAAACACTTGAAACATAAACCTAACACGCCTGAAGCACGACGTCGGCGGCGGCCATGGCCTACCTGGTGGGAACTGCGGTAGACAACAAGCTCAGGTAAGGGGGTGGGACGGGGGCGGAGTGGGGTGAGTGGATACAACACCGATGTGAGTGCGATGGGGAAATTTTTGGAGATGGAAGAAATGTAGAGGAGAGGAGCATGCTTGTTGGTCCTGTCCATTGAGCAGGCCTAGGAAGTGGCAGCGTCCGGGACTAGATGGACGCCCGTGTGCCAGCATTAGTAAAACATTAAGGAGACATGCACACCTAGCGATCGCCTTCCTAAATGGTTAGGGGGGCTCTAAGGAAATACCTGCCTCCCATGTAGTGGTGCACCCTCTTGTTGCCGTGCGGCACCGTTAATTCTCCATGCATGTATCTTTTGCCATCGACTTGCGGATATGGTTTGGTCACGTATAACATAACTTTGTTTTCACCTTAAGTTAATTGTATACTGGTGCGTGGGGTGCATTTTAGTCTTTAAAAGAGTGCATGTGCCTTGCTGCATGCTATTTTACGCACGTACTTATATACCCTATTTTGATGTAGATATTGGAGCCTAGAATTGGGAATTGAAATCTGGTTTCCTAAATTCTGCTGTTTGGATGTCCTTGGTATTGATATTTGGAATTACAACTCCAATACCTTGGAATTGGACTATAACTAGAACTGGGCTCCCCCAATACAAAGCATTACCCCTCTGTATTGGGTGGAATTGGGCTCTCCTGACCCCGACGCCTCCCTCATTGGTGGCCTACCCCGACGCCGCCGGCCGTCCCAGCTCCACCGGCCGCCCCAGCTCCTTTCCCAGCCCAGCCACCCTAGCTCTTTCCCCACCTCTGACCACCTCTTCTTCCCCAGCTCTGGCAGTTCTTTCCCCACCGTCGAGCACCCTCCTCAGATCCACTGTGACTTGTGGCAAGGCAGCTCCTCGGCAATGACGTCGAGCTCCCTTCTCCTCCATCACCGCTGCTACCCCGTCGAGCTCCCTTTTCCCGTCGCGGTGGTCCCTCCTCAGATCCGCAAGGGCCTGCAGCGAGGAGCTTCTTCCTTAGCTCTACCAGGGCCTATGACGATGGGTGCTCCTTCTCTGCTCCGGCGGCGATGGGAGGAGGAGCGGCGCGAGGGCTGGGTTGCAAGTGCGGTGGACAAGCCATGTGCATTTGCCAATTCCATCATATGACATCCAAACATGAATCAGTACTTGCCACGTTACAAGATTCCAATTAGCAAATGTCATATGCATCTAAACAACATAATTGGTTTTGCAACCCATTTCCAATACTACTTTGATTTGGTATTACAACCCAATTCAGTGTCAGCAGCTCAATATGAGCCCTAGGGATGCAAGACGGCTATAGGGCATCATATATAAAATTTGGTTGCAGACTGGCCTCCTGCATTATCTGGTGGTGCACAGATTCCAGCTGATAGTCATAAAGCAAGCTGCAACCGTTGTAGCTAGGGCACCTTATACCAGTGCAACCTTTGTAGTTTGTGCTAGTACACTACTACTGCAAAAGTCTTATCAGTGGGATATAATACTATATAGTGGTCAGCCCAACGTAGGACATACGCATTGGTTGTTCTTCTTCACATGGCCGGCTGGACCAAGCACTATCTATCTAGTCTAGAGTATACGTCGGAATCAGCGACGACGGCCGGCCGTCGACAGCCATCTCAGGACGTAGCTGTCTCTACTGTGCAGTGCTGCTAGCTACTCATGACAAGCAGTGTCGGCCTTTATCTTCTCGGCACTCTTCTGTTCTGTTCCGTTCCGCTGGCCTCGTGCAAGCAGAGGATCCTGGAGACCGAGAGTAAGATTCGTGAGCGCGTTAGTTAGTATATATAAAAGTGGTTTTCACCGTCGCCACTTATTTTTTATTTCAATGCTACGACTACATAAAACCAGACACCACTACGGCCCGTACGGCCAAGGACAGTTAGTAACAAAAAAATTCTAGCTAGTGGTGATCTATGTAGTATGATCATCTCCTATTTCTACCGGCGGTTAAAGCTACCACCACTAGGAATAGATAATTTTATTGCCTGTAATTTATGTCGACCTCCAGTACGAATACCTTATTTATGGAGGTGGTTTTCTTGAGGCGATCACTACTGAAGTCAACTTCTCGTGGCGGTTGCTTAAGACAACCTCCTCTAGGAATCCGATTCAGTACGACGCAAATATAAAATTGATAACTTATATTCATATTAAGTCAGATGAAGACAAATGTTGTATCAAAGCTGTAGAGCTCGATGTTATCTACAGCTCTGTAGATGAAAGCGTTTCATTTGAAATCATTTATGTGCCCAAATATTCATTACAAGTTCATATATCTATTTTAAAACATATTTTTCGTGAACAAATTTCAAAAGTGGTTGCTTAAGTCAACCACCTCTAAAAATGATTTCTACAGGTGGTTTGGCAACAAGGATAAGCCAAAATCTACCCCAAAAGCTATGGTGAAGGAGATCGAGGTCATGTTCGGCAAGAAGATAATGAAGGGGAACACACGGAAGAGAAATAGGAACAAGATGGGGGAGCGTGTTCCTTTCAAAAAAGTAGTCAATTTTCCTCAAATATCCTTTCAAAAAGTAGTCAATTTTCCTCAAATACTAGATGGACTTGGAGGTGCCCTATGCCATCGTGGTATGCACTGGGGAAGAATATATTTGAAACCACAATTGGTCACCTCCTAGACATCAAAGGAAAGATAAAGGATGGACTCGAGTCACAGATGGACCTTGCCAATCAAGGCATCATACCGGAGCTTCACCTGGAACTACTGCTGAATGAGAAATTCAGCCTCTCTGCTGCTAGCTACAACATGACTGCAAACAAGAAGAGGGTGGTGTCTCAGTTGCTCGGGGGTGCCAATCGGTTTTTCTTCATCCAGCATCAACCAGACCATAGACGAGAAGAGATCATTGTGCCAGTGGCTGAGGGGGGCTATTTAATGCACTCGCCCGGCCCTGTTGATGAATTAATATAAGTGGGCAAAAGCCGGCCGCCTCTAGAAATGGCCGATTAACAAAAACCATTTGCCAGATGCGGCTGGGTTACAGCCTCGTTTTTAATTTGCTTGCCTCTCTGAAAATACTTTTCTCTAGACAAGGGATGCATGGCACCCCTATATAATAAGCTCAGGGACTTGAAGTAAATTTTGAAAGTAACAAGTTTCGGACCCCTCATCTATCTCCAACATGGCCCGTGCTGATCCGCTTGATCATCGTTGACCTCGAGACCTTATTGCGCGCACCATCACCTAGGCACCTAGCGAATCAGCAAGCACTGGACCAGGCCACCATCTGCTCCACAGCGCCAATAGGATTCCTCGGATTTGGAATCGACCAGTCAGCCCAAACAACGACTTGCCTAGATGCCTTTGGTGCACACATATATGGCCCAGCACACGCGGTCCGAAAAGGCGCGAGCGCACTGGTGGAAAATGCGGCCAATCCATACATCTGTTGTGACCGATCGTGTTTGTGTATATATGGTGATTGGAAAAGCGCAGCACAGCTTCCTTGGCGTTGGACGCCTGCATGCTATAAATACCGGGTCCATGCAGCTGCGTGAGACACAAGCTGGTAGGCAACAGCAGGAGTACAACATACATACATAACCCAGCACAAAACATACACACCTACTTGTTAGTTACCGCACAAACATAAAACAAAAACCGAACGATGGCGCCGATGAAGAACAGCCATGTCCTGGCTGCTCTCCTCCTCATCGCCTGCATCGGCCATGATGCGGTGGGGGCCATTATTCCCGCTAAGGTTAGCACCGCCATGGCCCTCGTCTTCGGGGTAGTACCATGCAGCACCGGGAGCTTGATCAACGCGGTGACCGCCCCGCCGTTCGCTAGTAAGTATATATAATAGCAAATAATGTGTCCATGTGGTGTAACGGGGCCTAATACACTTTGAAATCTTGTTTTGTGTCATCACTGGACGTCACGGGAGTGGTTCTATAACTTAAGCACCGATCCATTATGAGTCCGGATCACATACAGGATATAGTTGAAGGGCAAAAGGATATTTTAAGAATAAAAATCATGTTCTAAGAAATCCTTTGCTCTTTAATATTAGCTAGCCTAGACTAGAGTGGAGTGTGTGTTGTTTGTGTGTTTTCATTTGTTTTCTTGTTGTATTTATTATAATTTTAATTACGTACGTACGTGTCCGGCCAGACGCCAGCCTACAGCTGCAGTGCGGCATTCCGGCTCTGTCCCGGTCTAAACCGGCTAACATCGCGGTACGTAACAAGACCTTCCCAATGACTTCAACATTCCTCTTTTTCTTTCGAGTGAAATTTTTTTTACTCTTTTACTTACAATTTTATTTAAATTGGCCGGCCAGGAGATGCAAGGCCGGAGCAGGGGCAGAACTGGGCCTGTCGTCTCCGCCTCCGGCGTTACCGTGTGGGCCAACGTGAGGGCAGACAGCAACGCCGCCTTCATGATCAGCCTGGGCGTCATTCGCAACAGCAGCGGCGGCCTTCTCTCCTCCATGCTGCTGGCCAACCAGTGCAGCGTGGTGGTCACCACCCCGTTGGCCGCCTGCAACGTGTCCCTGGCCGGCGTCACTGGCACGCTCAGCGCGCCGGTTCAGGTCCTCGGCGACGACGTGCTCAGCAGCGACATCGGCGTGACCGGTTTCGTTGCCGGGCGTTTCTCCTTTGTTGATATATAATATATGACGACCGGGCTCGTGATAGATCGGCGACGATGCCACAAGGACCGGCCAGACGCCAGCCTACAGCTGCAGTGCGGCATTCCGGCTCTGTCCCGGTCTAAACCGGCTAACATCGCGGTACGTAACAAGACCTTCCCAATGACTTCAACATTTTGCACCTTGCTACTTGTTTACATGTAGTAAACTTATATGCGCATGATCCAATTTATGTTAATATATGCATGCCTCAAAAGAAGAAGAAATTTTCAAGAATTACTCTGAATAGTAGAATTATTTGTTATGGTCATGATTAAATTCATGTAGGATATTCTGCTACCACTGAAGTGCAGTGAATTCAGGATATATATTTCCTGATTACTCTCTAGAATGAGTATATGGCCGAGAGAAATAACAAATGCATTGTGGGACTCATTGCATGAGAAAAATCCCAAATTATGATTACAGAATATCATCTTGCATTGAAAGTCGAATTTTCAAGCTTGTATGCCTATAGATTTAGGTATAATGATGCTCTATAAACAACAACTTGAAGCTTTATATTAAATGTCTATAAGATAAGATGGTAAAAAAGATTTTAATCAATGTATATTCTCGAAGAAATGTCTCTTGTGTATAGAATATCAAATAAAACGACTTACCGTAGGACGCATGAATCAGGACCGGTCACAAAGTTCCCGGAACAATTGAGTCGTGAAATGCGGTCAGGGAACGTGGTGCGCATCAAGGGAAAGAAACGTGGTTGGTACAATGGAGAGGACATCGACTTCATCTACGATGTCACGCTTGTCGATGACGTGCGTGTCCCCATGGGGAGCGACGTTGGCAGCATCATCGTCCGCTGTCCACTCCGGCGATCTAGACCTCGGTGGCAACGCCCCCCCCACCCACGTCGAGGTTAGCTGATCTCAGCAGTCGCATCTGGAAGTGTCAGTACACACATGCATGCTTGTATCTGTAGTGTCATATGCGGCATGTTTAACTAACATGTAGTGTCATATACGGATCTACCAACGAGGAGTTCTGTAGAACTGTGTAGTGCGTTTTATTGAAATAATCATCATCCGTACCAATATATGTTTTCCTCCCTAGTGTCCCCTTTCCGCTTAGTCTCCCCTCATGTCTCGATTCAGGAACACCAATCGAGTCAAGGTCAGGAATAAAGTCAACACATAACTCAATGACCTCTTCTGTTCCATAGCCCTTGGCGATGCTTCCTTCTGGGCGAGCACGGTTGTGAACATATTTCTTCAGGACTCCCATGAATCTCTCTAAGGGGAACATGTTGTGTAGGAACACAGGACCGAGAATAAAAATCTCCTTGACTAGGTGAACTAGGAGGTGTGTCATGATATCAAAGAAGGAAGGAGGAACACCAACTCAAAGTCGACGAGACATTGAACCACATCATTCTCAGTTTAGCTAGATCAGTTGGATCAATTGCCTTCTGAGAAATTGCATTGAGGAATGCACATAGCTTCACGGTGGCTAAACGTACATTTGGAGGTAGAATTCCTCTTAATGCAACTGGAAGTAATTGCGTCATGAGAACGTGACAGTCATGGGACTTTAAGTTACAGAATTTCTTCTCTGGCATATTTATAATACCCTTTATATTCGAGGAGAATCCAGATGGTACCTTGATGTTGTTTAAGCATTCAAACATGATTTCCTTCTCCTCTTTGCTTAGAGTGTAGCTGGCAGGACGTAAGTAATGGCGTCCATCATCTGTCTTCTATGGATGCAGGTTGTCTCTTTCTCTCAAACAACGCAGGTCCTATCGTGCTTCAAATGTGTCCTTAGGCTTTCCATACACACCCATGAAGCCTAGCAAGTTCACACAAAGATTATTCGTGAGGTGCATCACGTCGATCGAGCTGCGAACCTCTAGGACTTGCCAATAGGGTAGGTCCCAAAATATGGACTTCTTCCACATGGGTGCGTGGCCGTTAGCGTCGTTCGGAACAGGTTGGCTTCGATGTCCTTTTCCAAAGACGACTTTCACATCATTGACCATATCGAGTACATCCTCATTGGTTCGGTTGCGAGGCTTGGTTAGGTGGTCTGCCTTCCCTTTAAAATGCATGCCTTTCTTTCTTGCGGGGTGATTTGCAGGAAGAAATCGACGATGGCCAAGGTACATGACCTTTCGACATTTTTTCAATAATACACCTCTAATATCACCGAAACAGTGTGTGCATGCATTATATCCCTTGTTTGACTGTCCTAAAAGATTACTTAGAGCAGGCTAATCATTGATTGTTACGAACAACAATGCTCGCAGATCAAAGTGTTCCTGTTTGTACTCATCCCACACACGTACACCTTCTTTATTCCACAAAATAAGAAGTTTGTCAATAAGTGGTCTCAGGTACACATCGATATCATTGCCAGGTTGCTTCGGGCCTTGGATGAGCACAGGCATCATAATGAACTTCCGCTTCATGCATAACCAAGGAGGAATGTTGTAGATACTTAGAGTAACGTGAGCCAAGTGCTATGACTCACGCTCGCTCTCCAAAAGGATTGATACCATCTGTACTTAAAGCAAACCTTAAGTTTCTTGCATCATTTGCAGACTCCGGGAATTCTCTGTCGATTGCTCTCCACTGGGACCCATCAGCAGGGTGTCTCAACATATTGTCTACTTTACGGTCTTCTTTGTGCCATCGCAACAATTTTGCATGTTCTTTGTTTCTGAACAGACGTTTCAAGCGTGGTATTATAGGAGCATACCATATAACCTTGGCAGGGATTTTCTTCCGCGGACATTCGCCCTTAACATCACTAGGGTCATCTCGCCTGATCTTATACCGCGATGCATGGCATACCGGGCATGCATCCAATTTCTCGTACTCTTTGCCACGGTACAGGATGCAGTCATTAGGACATGCATGTATCTTCTCGATTTCTAGCCCCATAGGACAGACAACTTGTTTTGCTTCGTACGTAGTGGCGGGCAATTCATTGTCCTTTGGAAGCATCTTCTTTTGCATTTTTAGTAACTCTCCAAATTCCTTGTCAGATACACCATTCTTTGCCTTCCATTGCAACAATTCTAGTGTGGTTCCCAACTTTTTCTGCCCTGCATCACAAGTTGGGTACAACAATTTGTTGTGATCTTCTAGCATCCGCTCGAACTTGATCTTCTCCTTTTCACTTTCACATTCTCTTTGTGCGTCACGAATGACCTGACAAAGATCATCAGTAGGCTCATCTTCTGTGGCTACCTCTTCTTCAGCTTCTCCCATTACAGTATCATTGAAGCACGCACCATCGGGAATAATATCATTGTCGTCCCATTGTTCTTCTTCACCTTCCATTACAACGCCGGTTTCTCCGTGCTTCGTCCAACAAATATAGTTTGGCATGAAACCTGACTTGAACAAGTGTGAATGAAGAGTCCTTGAGCAAGGATATTCCACCGTATTCTTACATATGGCACATGGGCAGCACATGAAACCGTCGCGTTTGTTTGCCTCGGCCACACGTAACAAAGAATGCACGCCGTCAATGAACTCTTGGGAGTGGCGATCAGCATTGTACATCCAATGCCGGCTCATCTGCATTACATGACATAAATACCATATTAAAACCTAGATCATAATTAATTATTTATACAACTTGTGTGCCACCACAAAAGGTACAAATTTATGAAAGCATCACTACAACGTAGACAATCCCAACTACCACTAAAAGAACTAAAGCTAAAATACATTTCAGGAGCACAAGAATTTCGCGACCAATCTCAACTAAAACATACAAATCCCCCGATTGTGCAACATCTTTGGGCTTCTTCGGCTGGATCACTGCCTCATTAGCCGCCGTATCTGCCTGTTGTGCAAGATATTTTTGCACGAGTTCAACATACTCTTCCTCCCAGTAGAAGCCTGAACATCGTCCAATGCCATCCCACTGAAATTAAAACAAAAAATTAGAACTTTAATCACAACCATCATGAAAATAGGTATAAACTAACCATAATCATTAAATACGATAAAATAACTCACATTGCGATCCGGACACTTGTAGAAGATACGATCCTTGTTGGGACCCTCCTTCTTCACTCGGTACTCCATCACAATCTTCGTCTCATCACGACACTTGCCGCATGGAATGAGAGGGAGGCCCGGCCTAAGTCACTTTGGAAACCCATGAGAGGCCGAGGACCCGGAAGCAGTTGCCATCTACTCTCTATACTCATTTTTTAATACACTATAAATTTCTCATTTTATAAACAAATAAAATTAAGAAACTATAAAATTATCTATATCTCAAAAACATGTTTTAATAAATAACCATCCGTACTAGTTGACCTTGCTTACGTGATCATCTCGGCGAGCATTTCTCCACCGGACGGCACCGTACTTGGTCACGGAAGAGCTCCGATTCTACGAGGAAGGGAACACGGTCTTCCACGACCGTTGCCGCTCTCCCTCGTAGAATCAAAGCTCCTCCTTGACGTCCGTTACCGCTCGGCAGAGAACATGCTCTCCGAGATGAACATGGTCCGCAAGTTCAACTAGTACGGATTTTCTATAATTTTCTAACTATTTTCTAAGTTTATATTTATATATATACTACGTTTGGGTACGGTGATTGACAGACTACTGCGACGATATCGGGACATATGAATAAATAACCATCCGTACTAGTTGAACTTGCTTACGTGATCATCTCGGCGAGCATTTCTCCATCGGACAGCACCGTACTTGGCCACGGAAGAGCTCCGATTCTACGAGGAAGGGAACACGGTCTTCCACGACCGTTGCCGCTCTCCCTCGTAGAATCAAAGCTCCTCCTTGACGTCTGTTATTACCGCTCGGCAGAGAACATGCTCACCGAGATGAACACGGTCCGCAAGTTCAACTAGCTACTTTAACCTTCTTTCATGTAAAATATGCAAGCTTCAAGTGATTTTGAGCTCAAATTGCTTACAAATGATAAAATATACAATAAAGAACCATATATATATATATAGTGAACAAAATGAGATAAGA